CCTGGAATTTCCCGAGATTTTAAAAATTCTGAAATTGAGTGTAGCTTTGATGTTAGATGAGCTCTCTTTTCTGTTCGTTGCAGATGGATTGCATGATATGCCTAGCTCGCCAGGAAAAAACGCATTCATTGTTCTTCCGGGTGATACGCGTTCATGGAAATCATGATCATGGTTGCGGTTAATTTAGTTACGGTGAACTAAACTTTGCGAGCGATCGAGGCTAGTGCTTTAATTTTGTTGCAGTCTGACCTCCTGTCCTGCGAAAGTTTCCCCCTCACTAAATATGTAAGAATTAAATAGTAATCTAACCAGACTCCGATCGGATGACTCCGGCTGAGTCACAGGAAAATTTTTTAGTCACGGTTCAGGACTACCATTTTTAACTGGCAATTATTGCATCAAGATGATTTTCGTGAGACCCAAAGTTCAGGATTCGGACGAAAACACTATTTTTGTTGAAATGCCGCGTTTCTGGATTAGCGGCTTTGATACAAAATACCAAATAAATCTATTTTTATAACTGCAAAATCTAGTTGAAAAAAGGAAAAGTATTGAATAAAATTTTTTTCTCGAGGAAGCTTGCAGTCTTGCACTTACTGACGCAGTTCTGTAGACAGGGAATGCGAGTAAAGCTCTAAAAATGCAAACAAATTCAAGTGAAAATGATTGCTTCGCCTAATTGCTCTGTCGGTAATAAAATAATAAAATTCATCGATAATAATATCAATCCGAAAATTTGTTACAAAATGTTGTTTTAGGCTCGTTCATCATAAACTTGAACAATTTTAGAACTGATGGTCTTGTTCCATATTCTGAGGCATAAAAACAAATTCAGAGGAACACGTCATTTCGCTTATCTCATGAATATTCTGTTTTGCAGACCTCCAGCCCCGGTCGAAGGAAGCGCTCGCATGAAGAATTGCTTTTAAATCCAAGGCGATCTCATGACTTTGATGTGCTTTTGAACGAAGAACATTCCACGCAATCAATGTCGGGACTCGTTTCATATATTTTTTGGGGGGAATTCCAGCCGCTTCTCTCCTTCACCCAGCGCCACATTAATTGGACCGTTTGACTAATTAATTACGGTGAGTGCTCTGTGCGAGCCCGGAGCAGTAATTTGTTAGGGCAGATCTCCACCGTAACAGTTATTGTTCTCCAGCTTTTAGGTTGCTTTTTATGTACAAGGAATAGCAGGACTGCGTGTAGCTCATGCCGCGCTCTCTGCCTTTGCTTGCTTCCCGTTTCGCTGCGGACGGTTGCTGGGCTCGGGTTGGTTATGAGGAATAATTTCAATATAGAGTATATCTATCAAATGAATAAATTCAAGTTCTTTGTTGCAAACTACTTAATTTAAATTTTTTAATTATATAAGTTTAAATTTCTATTTAATTTTTTTTTCACTTTTCGAATTTTTAATTTAAAACAAACCGGATATTTATAACATAAGAACTATCAAGCGAGTGGTAAAGTTATTGTTTTCCCCCTCACCAAAAAAAAGGAAAGGTTGCGACTGCCATTCCACTCTAAGAAATTTCCCGAGCTCGGCTAAATGAATTTATGCTGCAGATCTTTTGCAGATTCGATTTCTGTGATGTGGATTAAAAAGAACACGTAGCACCGGTCGTCGACAGCGCTCGACGTGCAAATTAGATTTGTCGGTCGCGGTCTTGAAAATGAAGTTGATTGCTGGTCCAACACCTTGGTTCGGTGGTCGAAGATAAGCTTTGTAAACGTGGAAATTAAGTAAGTTTCAACCTTGTACTAGCAGATGTATAGCAATTACTACAAATTCGAAAATGGGCTCAACAGCTCTTTGCCATCTTGTACGTTTACCAGAACTGAAATTTCGCAACTTCGTTTAATTTGAATAAAATAAATCGTGGAAATCAATATAGACCAACAGGAGAATCTAACTTTATCGACTGTCAAAATCAAGGCTTTTAATTGTCAACGGCAAAATTTACAATTTTAGTGACGTCATTTGTTTAACTTTAATAACACAGGCAGTAAAAGACAATGGAGTCAAATGAGCCTAGGGTTCTCGTTTTATTGCAATGAGTTTTATTGAAAAAGCAGTCAACCTCGCGTAATTTTCTCCGAATTCACACGCAACAGTCGCCATGCCTGTCCCAGGACGATGCACAAGATGCTTCTTTACATCGTATCTCGTTTTCTTGCTGCACCAACATCCTTTAAAGGTGAGCACCGAGTCTTTCTTTGCAGGATTTCTTAAAAAAAAAACTTTTATCCGAAGGAATCACCTGCAGCTTGGCCGAGTTATTTGTATGTCAGTAGGAGCCCCAGTGGGCCGCAACCGCAGTCCCTATACATCCTAACCTAATAAATTAGATTATTTGTTGAGTCTAGACGAAAAAGATCGATGCACAAATTCTGGTTGCATTCCTGGCAGGCTAAGCAAATGCTTGATAATCTGTAGATATTGAAAATAAATCATTTTACATTAAAATCACAAGCATGAATAATATTTTCTTTCGATGTGAGTTATAACTCGTGAAGCACGAATGATCATATTGCAGTAATCATCATTGTTATTTAAACATGCAGAACCACTTCGTCTGCATCACCATTACAAAAGTCCGTACGTATCCCAACTCCCTGCTAATCTAGCAGGCTTACTGAAAAATCTGCGGAGCAACTACTCACAATTAGAGATTAAGCCTGGCCCATGTTACCTAGCCTGTCCCTTGCTTTGCATGTCAGGACAAAAATATTCAAGAAAAACATCAAAGAGCCTCGCGTAACACAGGCTGGACGCGATCTGCCCCGCGGGGCGCAGCGAGGCGCGCAGAAAACGTGAGGCCGATGCAGCGGTAACTAGGATACTGGAAAATCAGGCCCGTAAAGATCAAAGTCTTGCAGACCAAGCGAAAGATTTGTTCCGGAAAAATTACGACAAATGTTTTGCTTTGTTGGTTGGAACGATGTATGCTCAGTATAGGTAATATTAAGATGAGCGAATTAGTTAAAAAATTTGGACGGATCTCGGAGCGACCGAGTTAAGATCACCTATATTGGATCAGTGAGTTGTTGGTTCGACATCCTCAGGTAGCTGTTAAATCTTTATGATTGCTAGAATAGGCGTCAGGATAAAAATAACCTTATTTTCTATGCCAACACAATACTATATTAAATATATGTTTATATAATTGGTTTCAATAGGCAGAAAATGCTGCCATTAAATCTTCGTGATTTATGAATGTTTGAGTGTTGAATGTATGCAGTGGAACCTTTCAGGGTTTCTTATGACGGAAAATTTTGCCACAACTATAAAAACCAAACTATTTACATGGCACAAAACGTGGTCACAGTTTTGAATAGTTGTGAACTTCAGTCGTTGCTGTATAATCTTATCCTGTCGTGGCTATGCCGATAGCATTGCAGTATTGTTCATTTGTAGCCTTAAAATATAGTCTAGTCGAGGCCATCCAAAGCTACCACATAAAATGTACAACTGTGGCCTTATAACAATTTTATTCTGACGATGCACAAAGTTTTGTCTGCTGCCACCGACACAAGACACCACAATGGTTGACTTTTATTAATTTTATGTAAAAATGCTGTAGTATTAAACGGTTTAGAAACAAGCCGCCACAAACAAGGTTAAGACCTAACCGCTTACCTGTGGTGATGCGCTCAGGTGTCCTCGAATAATCCGCTTACAAATTCCTAGTGCTGAGATACTTTTGAATAAAATTCAACGATGATTTGAAAAGACTTTCGGCAAGCATCCAGTAATGATCGGTTCAAGTACTGTTCCCGGAAGTACTCGCAAATATTGATATAAAAATGCACGTATGCGTAACCGCTAGAATATCTCCCTGGAACTTGGCGGCGGGACAGAGGAGTTACACCCTCCATACACGACGTCCGAGACATGACTGGGCAGGTCACACGAATTTGCTGAAATCAGCACTCCCTTTATGAGGGCGGCGCGCTTTTTTCCCCCGGATTTGCTATTCATGAAAATTATTTTTAGGCGTACAATTTACTGAGGGCGACTCTGCAGGATATTCTTATACGAACATGTCCATAAGAATAGAAGAACTGATAAAATTCATTATGCCCATCAAATATTTGTTGAGGAAAAAGAGTAATATAAAAGAGTAAAAACTATGCCATCATAGTTTTATTAGAATATATGAAAAATTTTCAGGTTTTTATGACAAAACATGAATTTTGAATATTAAAATCATCCTATTCACAAACTGAAAAGCGTTCAATAAATTTGTTCATGATTTTTCTATTAATAATTCATGATACTTTTTAAAAACAAGCGTCCATTTTGAAGCAAATTTTAATATATGATATCCCAGCCTAAGTCATTACCCCCGACGGCAATAACCGCGAGTTTCGTCAGGGTAAAAACGCCTATAAAGTACTGTCAAGCCTTTTATTTGGCAGTTATTATGATTCCAAAGAAAGGTTTCCAAAAAATAAAGTTTTCGTGAACGTCCAAAGCGTACGTAAGCCAATATTTTTCACGATCAATAGACTTGATCTCTTGTAATTTACACGCCTAACGACTGGACTGAATTGTTCATTCTAGTGTGGCTACAATTTAGTCAAGAAAAACAATCAGGATAGTTCTTTTAAAAAGAGCCATTAGAATTTATGCATAGAAGAAACTTTCTCTTAATTTTAGCCGGCAGTACGATTGAATTTTTAAATTACATAAAAATTTGTTACAAGTTTCGAGACATCACGACAAACGGAAGTGTGCTATTTGGTTATTACTTTTTGATGGTTCAAAAAGTAATAACGCCAGGCTTGGACTAGTAAAAGTAGACCTAGACAACGTCCTTATACCAATAACGTAGGAGACACGTAAGGTGTGGAGACACGATGTAAAGATAGGCACGTCCCAGATAAAGGACGATGATAAGGTTATCTCTACTATCGTTAACATTTGTCACAACGATAACAATGTCAGCTCTGAGTGATACCGTACGTACACAGAGACAGCGTCGCAGTTGCGGCTAGCATTGCGAGTGAGAAGCTGTGTTCGACTGGCATATCGTGGTACGACTTGTGTTTCAAATCAAATTTTGAAATCACACAGTTACTTTTTGTTAAAAATCACAATTTTACTTCGTTGGATCCTGTATTCAGTAACAAAGAAAGTTGTTGTTAACACGTAAATGTTGCACCGTTCAACTCTGGTTTTATTTTTGCCCCATTTTCTTGTACCGTTTAAAGCAGGTTTATTGTACCTTATTTGTTGATGTAAATGATGTAGTGATGTACCATTCAAAACAGATTTTGTTTCACACCGTATTTGTTGCCGTAAATTGTGTATACCATTCACCACAGGTTTTGTTGTGCAATACAGACTATAAACTTTCTACATGCTAAAATCATGGCTGATATTTTGTACACGGTCGAAAGTCGTATCTTCAATGTGAAATAATTCCGATCCGATGCTCTTTTTGGCTCAATTCGGGAATTTATTGTCCAGTAAATTAACACTCAGTAAAATATCTGTTGCATCAGTTGTGGAAAATGATGGAGCAAGATTATCTACGTTCGGAAAAATGTTATGTTGATTCAAGTATTCAAACTGCATGAGCAAATCATGTGTAACTTGATTGTCCGGTGGGGAACCATGCCTTGAATTGATGCTAATCCCTCTGCACGTCTGAATTAGGAGTTTATAATTGCGAAGGGCTGATTAAATAAGGATTTCTTTGCCATAAATTTATTAGTGCTGCGAAACACGCGCATTTTTTCTAGCGCCAGCAGGCTCTATTAACGCTGTTCTAATAAGAAAGCCAATAAGAACATTGGCCCTTACGGCTGCAGGGAGAGCAGGCTGTGCACCACATGTCTCTGCAGTGGCCGGATGCTGTGCTGTGCTGCCTGATAGTGGGACAGCTGTGCTGTTGTGACCACAGCACGCTTCCGTGCAGTGGCGTCGATGCGTTGCAAGGGCTTTAGCTATAGTATTTACCATAGAAAAATACACAGTCCCACTTTCAAATCAGAGATATCAATTAAAAAAAAAGATTGTTTATAGAATATCTAGTTACGTTCTGAACGTATTAGGGTCACAAATCTACTACGAACAACTCATATGTTTAACTAATCCTTCTTCCTGCAGTTTATATTATACTGATTTTTTATTTTCCTTTCTTTTCTTGTTTGAATTTGTGTTCAGTGGTATTCCCAAAAACGGTTAACCGCAATTTTTACACCATCACCAAATCAATGCAAGAAATTAGTTATTTGTGGAAATGAAGTTTGGTATACTTGATGCATCATGCATCATACGGTTTATTTATGCATAATGCTTCACTCTTCTTCACTACCTCTATTGTGTAAATCATTAGCAGTGCAAATACTTGTTATCTACATTAATTAGTGACTTTATTTGCAGATGAAAAACACGACGAAGTGTTGACGTAAATTCTAATACATCAGCTGGCAGTGACATGGCTCAGCCAGTGCAGCCCTCAGGAGCCGACGCTCCTTCCGTCAGAGGAAGACCAGCTCGTCCCCTGACTGCAGATGTTGCTTTCTTGAAGAGTTTCACGAGTGCGCTGTTTATCACTCAGATTGTGAGTTGCGTATCATGTTCTTTAAGCAGCCTGGACCTCTAGGATATAACAGGGTGGCCCAGTGGTTACAGTTCAGAGTACCAGGATTGGCGCAGAGAGGCGCGGGTTCGATCCCAGCTCTGTGCGCCAGTTTCTGGTCAGAATCGGCAAGGAGGCCGGGCGGTTAAGCACAGCAGAATTGTAGCAGTGAGTTGTGAGTTCGAGACCGCAAAATGCTGTGAATGTTCTGCGATGTTAAGAATCGGCGACAGGCCTATGGCCTATTAAACGCTGAAACCGCTATTATTAACATCTATTACTAAAGTTACTTTTTTTACATGTCCCTTTCCAGCTGTGATTGGTTGAGATGTCATTCTTACCAGACTGATTGGTTGATAGGACCATTATGTCATCCTATCCAGACTGTGATTGGTTATGGGATCATGATGTCATCTTATCCAGACTGTGATTGACAATTTAATGGCCTTTCAAATGGTCATTTAAAACCCCTCTAGAATTCCATCATAAATAACGTGAAGTGTATGACGTAAGATTCCAGAGATACGCTCAAATTATGTTAGAATATTTAATAAGTTACACTTCAACTATTTTATGATTGTTCAAACATAACATACAAACCATTGTACACATAACGTTGCCTGAAAACCCGCACGTAATTTCATCTGGTGGTCGTGATCGATGTTACTAATCTTTTATGAAGTTCTAGCAGGGAAGCCAGACAATATCGCAACATGATATGTAAGTATCCTGGATACACGCCCTAATAGCCCCTATATATTTACGGTACCAGGCTTCAAACATAAATACCATAACGCACACAAACTTTGACAATTGTTTAGAAGATTAACGTTTATTACAACACTGCTCTTTAACTTCATTTGTTGTTGTTTGTTTGTTTGTCTGTCTGCAACAAGTCTAATAATCGGTAATTGACACACTTCTACCTGTCCAATCAATCTGAAATTTTGCACACTTGCGTGAAGTTGGTGACAATGCATGGATCAATTGACAGAATAAAAAATGTTAAAAATATATTTTTAAAATATTTAAAAATAAAATAAGAAATGCATGGTATATGTGTAACATCGGAGAAACTGGCCTCTCTAGAAGTGTTGTCTTCAAAAATTAATTTTTAAACGCATATTATTTTCTGTTGTGAGGTCTGCAGTTTGATGGCACTGATCCTCTCGTGCTCATGGCGTGGTCGCTACGTCGCGGGCCACGTTATCTTCATCGTCGGTGACCTCTTCGTGCTGCTCGGCAGCTCGGCCGTCTTCGCGGCACGGCTTCTGAAACTCGACGACCATTTGCTCAGAAACTTCATGTGGCCCATCGTCGTGAGTGGAAAATGCTGCAAAAAGCCATTTTAAATATAAAGATATGTTCAGAACTTATATTACCATTAATTCACTTCCGTCAAAGTCCTGCTCAGATATCACTTGCTTTGTAAAATTTTCAAGGAGCGTAACCCGGCATTGCCAGGAAAGATAACCCCGAAGAATTAGGCATCCTGCTTATTATAACGCGTCACCCTTAATTATTTCCCAACGTAGGCTGTATCAATTAAATAATAGCTTATATTTTGTGTGTGGGAATAATAAGTAATTGAAAAACAGAGAGGGGAGGATTTTAAGAAAAAGTTATATTCTAAAATTGTTTTGTTAGATTTGGGTCTGAATGTCGTTTCCTAATCACCATTAGGTGATTTTGAATTTTTTTGTGGGGATTTAGTTTATAGAGATTCTCCCTTCTCAATGACAACAAATTTGAAGTTGTTAGTGGTACCATGCAGGGTGGATGTCAGGAAATAATATTTTGCAGACGTGTTTTGCTAATTGCAATCATTTACCGTGCGATCATAAATAGTAAAGAGTTCTTAGCTCCATCAGCCAATCATTGAGAAGCTAAGCGCAATAATCAGACTAAAAGTCAGCCACCACGTGTACTTAGGTCGCTACGTGTACTTAATTAGGCCACTACGAGTACTTCGGTCGCTACGTGCACTTAGGTCGCTACGTGTACTTAGGCCGATACTTGTACTAAGGTCGCTACGTGTGCTTAGGTCGCTACGTGTGCTTAGGCCGCTACGTGTAATTAGGTCGCTACGTATACCAAAGTATTTTGATAGTACGGCCACTGATCGTCGGAGCTACCTAAAAATTTATTGGCAATCCTCAGTATTTATTGGCAAACCAGCGATATCTCCACAAAACTGATAATGTGATGGAATAACTGTGCTAAATTAAATATTTTTATTTTAATTAAAAACCCTCTGTTGTTTCAGTGTTTAACGAATAAAAATGAAAGCCATGGCAGCAAGGCAGCGTTACGACTCCTTCCATTTGCGCGGAAGCGCAAGAAAATTACCCTGAAAGCGTCTAAAATGTAGTAAGAATAGCACCTCAATTTCTTGACGGTTCTTAAATGAATTTTAATGTAAACGGAGGCTTATTAAAAAATTTAATCAGTTGTGGTGGCATATTTATTTGTTTTATGCCTTCAGTTCGCATGCTACAGCGGCCCTGCCGCCCTCGTGATGGTTATCATCAGTTGTATTATGGTCGGCGTATCGTCGACAGCGTCTGCACTCAAGGCTGCGGCTGTGAGTGAATAACTGAGAAATTTCTTTTCAATTGTAAAGAAGTCGGCGCCTAATTGCACTAAATTGTTCTTTAAGACATGATGTTTTTTGCGATAATTTAATTGTAAAGAAGTCGACGCCTGATTGAATTAAATTGTTCTTTAAAATATGTTTTTTTTTGTGATCCGCGATGGTGAAATGACTTATTTCCAATTCATGCTCAAGAGTTTTTCCTCAAATCACTTCAGATTAGATAAAATTTATTCACAATAATTTAGTATAGAATTTTGGTGTCGTTAGGAACTTGTATATTTAAATTTATATTCTTAGCTCAGATAATTAGTGACAAAATTAATTTTTAGTTTTGAAATTTTCTGGACATTTAAACCTCTGTTGCTCCATTTTTCCTTATCAACAATGTATATACATGGATTTCACGAATGCAGTTAATTTTCTCAATTTGCTTTCATTTCATGTTAGGTTTTTGGGTTCTTCACGTGGACAGCGTTGTTACTGTGCTTTGTTCTGCACGTGAAGCCGCTGTGGGATGAGAAGATGCAACCTCGGGAGCGACATGCATCTCAAGATGATGCTCAGTCAAATGGTCAGTTAAATGCTGCTCAGTCAAATGGTCAGTCAGGATGCTGCTCAGTCAAAGGGTCAGTCAGGATGCTGCTCAGTCAAATGGTCAGTTAAATGCTGCTCAGTCAAATGGTCAGTTGGAATGTTGCTCAGTCAAATGGTCAGTTAAATGCTGCTCAGTCAAATGGTCAGTTGGGATGCTGCTCAGTCAAATAGTCTGTTTTATTGGATGGTCAGACATATAATAATGACTTTGATATTATTGACGCTGCCTTAATTCCGTGCTCACGGAAAGCAGCGAGTTGTTCGGGGGCAGAAAATAGAGAGCCGGAAGTTGTATTTCAGTTGAAGGAATTAATGAATGTTTTATTGCAAATAAAAATGTCTTGCGAATGATATTCCTCTAACTTATTAGAAAACGAGGGTGAACAGCAAGCGCGAAATGATGAGTATGTAGCTTGAGCTAACATTGCGCTAATATTTCAACTGGCTATCAAATACTTTTCATGAATTTATGATAATATCATTATATAGTAAGCTGGGTTCAATAATATCAAAGGAAGAATCAATCCATGTCTCGAAACCAGCCTGAGTAGTTGACTTGAGATCATGACTATCCTGACCGTAATACATAATTCAAAATATCAACAAGTATTTTGTGAATAATGATATTGGCATGGGTAGTTGACTCGCGATCATGACCATCCTGGCCGTAATATATAATTTAAAATAGCAGTCAGTATTTTGTGTATACCGTTGCTGACATATAATGATATAAGTCGTCGTGATTCTCAACACTAATCAATTTCCAGACGACAGCGAACCGTCCGACGACTGGTCCAATGACGAGGACAACAGCGCTCAACCCACAACTCCGAGCGTAACCCTGACGCGGGCCATCGCTAGACCCTCGTCTCTATACGCCTCTTCCCCGGTGACGTTTGCGTGTATCTCAGAGAAATTTGCAAGACCAAATTCTAATTAGCCAGACTTTGTCCAAATTTTGATGCAATTTTCCTCCTATCTAATCACTCTAATCCCTTTCCCTTATCTATTCCCCTTATCTCTTATCCCCTTCTGATACAATTTTCCCGTTTTCCAACTTAGCTTAGCCAAAGTATAAGGACGTATCACTGCTACGTTCGCTCTCTGACTGTGTTTTGGGTAATAAAGTGTGTTATTATTTGTACAATATGACTCAATATTTTCTTTGAGTATGCGCATGTTCCGCTAGACGATTCTGTTATGCCAGTTCATGATGCTGTTTTTGTGGACGCAATATATATATACATATACAGTATAAGGGTGCTGACAAGAAATGATGATTGATGTGCTAAAAATGTTACAGCTTCGAAACGGTAATGAATTCAAATTTTCGGGCACGTTCCGATGATAAATAAATAAATATATACTAAAAATAGCTCATATTTCCACTAGAACTCTGAATTAGTTTTCATGTGAATATTTTTCGAATTATAACTTAATGTTCGTCTGTCCAACAGCCAGCGATCACTGAGACGTTCCATGTCTCAACGCCGCAGCTCGTCTACGCTCTACCTAAGAACTCTGTCTACGCGCCTACCACGCATCCCGTCTGATGTGTCTACCCGTCTACAACGCATCCCGCCTAATGTGTCTACCCGTCTACCACGCATCCCGTCTGATGTGTCTACCCGTCTACCACGCATACCGTCTAATGTGTCTACCCGTCTACCACGCATACCGTCTAATGTGTCTACCCGTCTACCACGCATACCGTCTAATGTGTCTACCCGTCTACCACGCATCCAGTCTGATGTGTCTACCCGTCTACCACGCATCCCGTCTGATGTGTCTACCCGTCTACAACGCACCCAGTCTAATTAATCTACCCGTCTACCTCTCATCCCGTCTAATATGTGTCTACCCGTCTACCAAGCATGCCGTCTAATGTATCTACGATCCTACCACGCATCCCGTCTGAAGTGTCTACCCGTTCACCATGCATCCCATATAATGAGTCTACCCGTCTACCACGCATCCCGTCTGATGTGTCTACCCGTCTACCATGCATCCCGCCTGAAGTGTCTACCCGTCCACCATGCATCCCATATAATGAGTCTACCCGTCTACCACGCATCCCGTCTGATGTGTCTACCCGTCTACCACACGTCCCGCCCAATGTGTCTACCCGTCTACCACGCATCCCGTCTGATGAGTCTGCCCGTCTACCGTGCCTCCCGTCTAATTAATCTACCTGCCTACCACGCATCCCGTCTAATGAGTCTACCCGTCTACCACACATCCCGTCTAATGAGTCTAACCGTCTACCACAAATCCCGTCTAATGTGTCTACCCGTCTACCACGCAACCCGTCTAATAAAGTGCGCGTATCAAAAGAATCGTTTTGACATCCAATAATTTATTTGTTTATATATACGATAAGTTTTAAAAACGAATCAAAAGACTCCCTTTACCCAGTTCATCTGCGCACTCGAATTAAAAATAGTTAAACTTTCTAGCGTAAGCGAATTAAAAACCTTTATCATTTTTGGCGCTTACAAATTCAAGACATCTATGAATTTTGCTACATATAAATATAAAAAAAATTGTTTTGAAGGAAACTGATTTCGGCAGATTCCGGCCTTCTTCTAAACAATTGTTTAGACACAACTGTACACTTTTTTCTTCTAAACAATTTCAAACAATTGTTTTGAATGAACTGTAAAATAAACATATTTTGAGAAGCATGCCGTTTTTTTACGATCAATTCAAAGTTCTCTCCATGTATAATTACTCATTAATTAATATGATTTGTACGCCTCAATTTTATTCATTAAAAAGAATATTCATAATTGTAATGTTTCAACGCTGATGATGGCAAATGTTTTCAACTGATTGTCTCTAGTTTGATATTAGTGTAATCGTGGTTGACATTCTCAACATTAAACTAATTCGAAATTGACATTTCTTGACCTGAAAAATTTAAAAAACGCAGAAACGTTCATCTAATCTCCAATTAAAATCGATTGGGACATCATTGACATTGAATTATTGAAAATTTTATTTTTTTAGCCGCTTCCATAATTAACAATTAAATGGATTTTTTAGGCAGGGCATACTGCCAAATGATCTAATTTCAGCATGTATAGTTGATGTTATTTACAGAAACAGGTATAACGCACCGTATTTATTTGGATATATTACCAATTAATCGTTATCAATAAATATTGATAAAAGATGTAAAACTAGCATCACTGAGAGGTTTTATCCCCTATCTAAACTTATAATAGCAGGATAATAAATGTTGACATAGACTGGTAACTCAATTGAGTGGAAAAATACAGTAAGAGGAAACGATGGTAAATAAATAAAACAAAAATTCAATAATGTTTGGTCTGACATTGTTCATTGTACAATTTCACGATACAATATTTGTTTATTTGTGCTGGTTGATGAAGATGAAGTAATACTGATGTTTGCTTGCAGTTTTTCGTTTCACAAAAAAAAAGAATATAAGAAGGGCACGTGAGTCAATAGATAAATATGAATCACGGTGACTGATTGGATGTGTTTTTGATGTTTTTAAACGTTTTAAAGTTTATGAAGACTGTGTTAATTGTGTTACCAGTACATTTAATATTATTTTTAAGGTGAATAATATTTCTCATTCATATCAGTGTTATAATATTACTTTATCAACAATTTTTCACTGTATATGATCCGTGAACGTGTAACATTTAATTTAAACTTGTGCGGTGCTTGTGGTGCGATCGTCGATTTGTTAATCAAACGACTGCGACAGTTCTACTTCACCTAGGTTTTCTTTCATCCCATTTACTTCATGAAGTTTATAATTTCATTCAAAATTACTTCATAGCGTACACACAATTCGTTTAAATAAGATCTTAGTTTGTTTATTTAAAATTAATGATTTTAAATATTGAAATAAAGTCACAATGTAAGCTTCCTAGGAAAGTTCCACCACTGAAATAAAACAATAATTCTTCACAAAGATTTTATTTCTGTACAAATATTATGTTTCCTCCTCAAAATATACAGGAATGTTCGTAATTTCGTCAATCTCGTAGAATGGTAGCATAACATAAACCAAATGACTGAACTTCTGGGGCCATACTTTCAAAACTCGCTAAGTGAACGTAAGTACTTACGCTCTATTTTCTTGTCTATGACTAAGTGAACGTAAGTACTTACGCTCTATTTTCTTGTCTATGATTGGTGGATTTTGCTTGAAAGGCCGTCAATGATTGGCTGATGAACTTACGGTCTCTTGACTTTTATTGAAAGGTTAAGAGCAGATTTGATGCTGTCGTACCCATAATAAAGGTAAGTCATAATAACAGAGGTTTGATGCCGTCTTAACATAAAGATGCACAGAGATTTGATGCTGTCGTACCCATTATAAAGGTACGACATAATAACAGAGGTTTAATGCTGTCTTAACATAAAGTTGTACAGAGGTTTGATGCTGTCGTACCCATAATAAAGGTACGACATAATAACAGAGGTTTGATGCTGTCTTAACATAAAGATGTACAGAGGTTTGATGCTGTCGAAAATGATTCTCACTGAATACTGATTAATCGTTTGATTTAATACTAAGCAATTGAGATGCTGTGTGAAAATGCATGATGATAGGTCTTGGTTTGACTAAGATAATCCGAACTCAATCACGCTCGGCCACCTGCAAATACAATATAAGTTTAAAAAACTTTTTGGGATTACTTAGCAATATATAAAATTAATTTTCTTCTCCAACTAAACTGACTTTTATTTCTTTTGATGATTCATACCATTGGGCGAGAATTAAAACGTGAAAATTTCAGCAAAATTTCTCTCTTTCACTTTGCAGCGCATTTAAGAGTAATTTTGTGAAAAATGATATATGCTAAAAATGTCAGGTTTGAAACTATCTCAAAATAAGGATTGGAAACGATTAATGAATGAGAGTGATTTTGAACTGAATTTATCTTCAGAAACTTGTCAAATTATTAGATATTCGATATTCAGAGTTTCAGATTACAATCGATATATTCAGCGGTAATATCCGGTTTCCAATCTGAATATACCAATTCGGAAATATCCCATTTCCGAATCGGTATGTTCAGAGAATATACCTATTAGGAGAACTTTCAATGTTTTTAAAACGAAGTGCTGTATGTAAGTTAATGTCCGTGAAGCACAGCAGGATCACGAGCTCCGCAATGTTTCAAGCGACTTTTTGTCAAGGAAGAGTAAGAGTATAATAAAATAACACTATATCGGTAGCAGCTCAATAAATTTGATATGTTTGGCCGGTCGTCTGTTCATGACAACATAGAATTTTCGTTGTCAGCTGCGTTATGCGCCTCGAACTGAAACTCTCTGCTCCAATCTTATTTTTCTTAGCCACCCGGCCAACGCCGGTATTGTGAAGAATTTTGACTACAATATTAGGAGGGTAACTTTGAATGCTAGGGCAATACCAAAGATTGCTTCAAAAGTTACGCAGAAATTCGAATGGTAAGTACTGAAGTACTAAAATTTTACATATCTAGCAAAAAAATAGTTCAAAAAGTTTCACGCGTATAAAATAACTGTTGAAAAACGTTTTCTACGAGGATTAAAAATTTAAATTTTGTTTTTCGAATCCACAGGAGGTTAGTGTCTTCTCAAATTTGGTGCTTCAGTTTGTGAAGGCCTTAAAGAATTACAGTTTTGCTAGAGGTTAGCAAAGGCATCAATAGGAGAGCGGCCACTTCGGCGTCTTGAACGAGTACATGACAGACGGTTTACCTTTTAAATGATAGTTGTGGTGATTAAAAACCGCTTACATAACATTTATATGGTATCTAGGCTGAGAGTTAGTTGAATTTTTACCTGGAATATTAAGGAAGTACATCATAAATTTTACATAGCACTAAGAAATCGAGGTCTATTGCCGTATTCGACATTTGTAAAGAAGTAAAAGTTTCATTTGCAGATATATTTTTTCTGGAAGTATTTTGAATATATTCTACGCATTATATGAATATAATTTCGTAGCTTGGATCGCAATTTTATTAAAAATTCTAGAGCAGCCAAAAAATTGGACATAATTTATGTTTTTCTCGTGAAATGTTCAGATAAACAGCTGCATCAACAGTTTTGATGTACTGCCATTTTAAATATTATCAATAAATAATATTGATATGTAAAATACGTTTTTGATGCATAAAGTTAGATATTTCGCAATTTTAAATTAAAATATAATTTTTTTTTGAAATATTTAATTTTTTCTATCGATGACAAAACCGCTAAGTCTGCGCTCTAACAATATTTTCTTTATGTGATCAAAGAAGGTTTCAGATTAATGACTATATTAATTTTTACTATAGGCTGAAACCCACTGAGCAAATATTTAGGTTCGAGACATTTTTTTTATGTGTTGCACATATGAGTAGGAATTAGTAATGAATTAATCAAGACACAATCAAATTTACAATCGATTGCATTAATTTAATTCGACAAAATAATATTTTTTCTTTTATTCGACGCGAGGAAGGTTTTTCTATATTATTGAAACGCCCAAATATCTGAAGTAGGCTATCGTTATCGAAGAAAAAAATAACACAACGTATGCAACGGCTAATGCATTTCTGATAGCAAATAAATTCTATGTCAACCCACCCTTGCGCGCTCTTCCCTGAAATGGAATATTGGAGAAGGGACTGATAATATAAATATGGTGAACACGCCGCATAGGGGACTCGCTTCAGGCGCGAAAATTATCAGATATATAGCGCCCATGTGCTTATTGACTGGCTTTGCAATAAAAATAATCCCACGAATCGTATCAAATTACTGAACATACATCTTCAATTTAAATTGAGGTATATAACTAAAATAAGTTCATTCTTCTACAACACGAATTCTTATCTTTGATCATTTATTGAAGTAAAATGATCCATTATCTTTAGCGAAGATTGATCCAATTGCTGTTACGTTCACTTGAGATTGGCATTCTGAATTTCATTCAATTATAATGCATTCCGTCATGCAGCTGAAAAGAGTTTTCGCACAAAATTTCTTGTTTGGCACTTGTGGTTGTTCATTGGACGTATTAATACTTATTTTTTTGTCATCTTGGTGGCAACCGTATAGGTGCCTTGAACCATGAATGGACCTCTGCAACAGATTAATATTATATGTTTATTGGAGATTGCCTCACACATCGATGCTAATCGCTGTGTTAAATATTGTCAGACTTATTCATTGAACTTATACTTATATTTACTTAAGAAATGTATTATGTAGTATTTAAGGAGTTGGATTAGGAACTTGTACATATTCATTATGTTGAAAAATTTATTTTTTATCTGAAAATACAAAATTAAATTTCCTTTGAATTTTAAAATAATAGTCGCATGAAACTTTATACCTTTTGCGGCTTTGAAAAAGTCTGATTTAAATTGATCTCAGTGTATTTTGGACAATTTTTTTTATTTTAGGGATATTTATAATTCAGGGACCATTTATCACGAGCATCGCCTGGTTGAGCTGCTATTATCGTACACATGAGCTATTTATAATTAGGGAAGTGGAACAGATGTGTCATTTGCAGTCATTCGGCATTCACTGAAAATCTGTGGGTTATTTCTTTGCTTAGTCTTCTTTTTCTTTTCTTTCTAATTTATTCTTATAGGAGCACTGGAAGCTAGTCCGTAAAGCCCCTTGCCTAAACTTGGTTTAATTGGTACCTAACAGTCTAACAGCTCTGAAAGTTAAAATCAGTAAAACGTGGTAAAGGTAACAGTGAAAATTCCTGCTTAGTCTTCGCTGTCGCCAGAAATAAAGAACGGCGTCTCGGGTTAATGAACAGCAGTCTCAGTAAATCCGGCTCATGAGTGATTTAATTTGAGTTGCTCGTTATTGCGGAATTTCTATTAATTTCTCTCACAAAGTGTGAGAATTATTGCACGTTACTTTTATAAATTAATTTATATTACTTGATATATGTATATCAGAACATGATTCTAGAAGACTTCGCGAAGTTGTTCAACATTAGTTAAATGAAATTTACTTATTGAATATAATGTTAGACATTGCATAATCATACATCATAAACAATACAATGCAGCAATAATAAGTACATTGTTGATATTTTTCTTACCATTCTACATACATAAGTAACGTGACCTTGAATTTCGTGACGTATTCTTCAATAAAGTAGTAAATTTAGATAGTATTATAGCGCTGATCGCATTCAAAACCATATTTTTGCTGCAAAATAAATTTTCGTATTTAAAATATATGTTGAATTATGTCCAAATAATATTTTCGCTGTTTTAGAGTATAGATAGTTACTTTTGGCTTATTAAAGGATAAAGAATAGATTTCCTAGTGATTTATTTCCCAGCAGCAATAATTTTTCAATTTTGTGGGCCCATTCTTCTAAGCTCTCTGCATGTATTCCTCTTCTTCATAAACTATTCAACTTACCACTTTCTTATCAATGCTTTGGATTCAGAATGTTGCGTTTCGGTTGATTAGAGCTCAAGAAGAGGCAATTCGAGTTTCGCTTCAACTGTACGTCTGGGGCAGCACGAGCATCTCCAGATATATTTCCGAAACTTCATCAGCTTCAATGGAATAAGATGCAGCGCTGAGGGTATGGGTCCTTGGTTCAGATACACTCAGGAACCCAGCTGATCAACGCTCGATGAGGGTACACGTAAGAAGTGGCTACGACTCCCTGAATTGGTTGGTTGTCTTTCCGCTCGTTGCAACAGAAAGTCGGCTAACCCAAGAAGACAACACTCAACATCAATTTCAACATGATTCAACTGAATAACTGAAATAAAAAATATGGCAGATTTTCTGATCAACGACAGTGCGTGATATGCAACCCTCTGTATTTACGGCTGAATAGAAGAGAGGAAAAAGCCGTAAGAAGAAGTTAATAGAGGGGAAAAGATCAATATGTTTAGAAATGCATCTTTTGCGCATCTTGAAGCATATAACAACCGATATATT